CATAGCAACCCTGTATAGGGTTTCTGAGGAGCAGCTGGTGAGCTTGAACCACCAACCTTGACGTTCAAACCAATGTTGCAGTCCAGCGCCACACCAGGGCTCCTGTATGCTCAATAAGTGTTAACTATTATCTTCTCCCTGCACAGTGTTTGTGCATCTCTGTGATACTAATTTTACCCTTTCTTGAATTAAAGTCATTAAAGATCTGTCTAGATCCACAGTCCTTGATCTGAAACACTTTAGGGCCAGACACAATGCACAGTGTTACAGATTTTAAAAGATTTTAACTGCATAGGGCTTATTTGCCTCAGAGGGATCCAGGGCTCCACCTGTAATCAGACACATGAGTATTTCTGTTAATAGGTGGGACACACATAAATTCATGTCAGTTCAGATCAGATTTTGCCACTACATGAGCTCAGGCCAGGTCATGCTGCTAAATGAGTTACAAAAGCACTTGGTTTTCAGAGATGTTTCGATTTCAGAACTGCAAGCCTGAGGGAAGCATGTTCAATTCACTCATCTTTAAAACCCTTGTCACACCTTGCACTGTGTGCAACAAATATTTGTGGCATTAGAATATTTACTATATGGCTAACTGCTATGCTGCAAATAAAATAATTTTGTATCTTTGTGTCATACTTTTTCTCAACAGTGGTCACAGCCTGGAAGCACACACGGAATCTCCTTTAAACCTCCATTGTTTGTTTACTCAAGTCCTACAGAACTCTTTCTGACTCCTGACCAATTTCTCAAATATTGTTTAGTATTCAGAATCAGTGCTTTGCAAATGGTAAAGTGCATATGAATCACCCAGGGTTCTTGTTAAGCACTGAGGGTGACATTTTGTATATTTAAACACATGACCAACCAGTCAATTGCAACTCACAGAGACCCTACTGGGCAGAATAGAACTCTGAAATCTCTGGCAGCTGACTGCCTCATTTTCCTCCCGTGGAATGAACGGTGGGCTAGAACCACCAGGCTTTCAGTTAGCAGGCAAGCACTTAACCCACAGCACCCCCAGGGCTCCTTTATGCATGACTGTTGTTGTAGTGTCGAGTCAATTGAGAGTCTATATAGGGTTTCTGAGGAGCAGCTTGTGAGCTTGAATCACCAACTTTGCTGCTAGAAGTCCAGTGCTTATCCTTCAGAGCCACACCAGTTAGCAAGCCCCAAAGTGATGCTGCCACTGTGGTCTAATGGACCACACTATGTAGCAAAGTTCTAAATGCTTTTTAACTAATCTTGTTTGACTCAAAATTGGTCAAGTTTTTAAAAATGTGCTCCTATTTCATGTAGACCGAACCAGAGAGTCTTATGGAGTCCTCATGTAGCACTGTAAGATAAGCACTGGACAGATAACTAAAAGGTCACCAGTTAAACCCACCTCAGGAACCCTATACAGGATGGCTATGAGTCAGAATCGACTCCATGGCACTTAACAACAACAGACAGGTAGTTGCATCACAAACTGGAGACTCTGCATATCCTTGTGCCAGAGAAAGAGCTCCAAGAGGACCAGCAAGGAGGGCACTGCCCTGTTGAGACAGCCCATCCTCCCGCTACCATGGAATGAGCAGCCTGTCTCCACCATGTGTCAGAGTGACAACACGACATTCAAACAAACACTTCATCTTGATCTCAGATTAACTAGGCGTCAAGACTATTCTTCATTTCTTTTATTTATATTTTACTTAAATGTCTTTTAATTTACAATGATTAGATCACAAAACATGGGTCTTTATAATGGCTAGGAGCACCTGGACATGAATCCAAGAGCCTGGCGAGAGACCATGACTCATGAATTACCTGAATGATAAAGGAAGTGAAGTCCTAACAGGTACGCCATGGATGAACCTTGGAAGTATTGTGCTGAGTGAAATAAGTCAGTCACAAAGGAACAAATATTGTATGATCCCACTATATGAAATATCTAGATTAGGCAAATGTATCGATTCCAAAGTTTGGTAGTGGTGGGAGGGAAGGGTAAAGGGACACTCACTGCTTTTGTTAAAGCTATGGGAAAATTTGGAAACAGAATGGTAAGGCCTAAACAACATGATTCACACAACATGTCACAGAATTGAATCCATGAAGAATGTTGACACGCCAAATGCTTTGTTGCCTATGTATTTACCGAAGTTCTACTGGTAGAGTGACAGAATCTCTGGTCATTTTCTCTTTTTACCATTATTATTAGATGTTTATTGTGAAACTATACACAATAAAACACACACCAGGTCAACAGCTTCTACACATATAATTCAGTAACACTGATCACATTCTTCAAGTTGTACAACCATTCTCCCCCTCCTTTTCCAGACCATTCCTCACCATTAACTCATTGCTCCCAAATCAAAAACTCCCCGTTCCTTCTCCTTCCCACCCTTGGTAACCACTAAGAAGCCTTGGTTTCTATTAATTTGGTTATTTCATTTAAGTGAGATCATATTGTGTATGTCCTTTTGTAACTGACTTATTTCATGCAGCATACAGTTTTCAACCTCCATCTTCTCTTCAGGGAAAGCCAAAGAGATTAGGGACACGTATGATAACACATCATGTAAATCTCTTAACTCTGCACATTGTCAGATTTATACCTTTATAAATATAAGTTCTAGGAAGTAGAAAGAAGCGTTGCCTGAAAACCACCAATCAAAACCCAACCCCAGTGCCCTCTTCCTATTGTCACTTTTATTCTTCAAACGCCCCTCGCCCCCCAGCCCAAACTGCAGTGTGCCCAGTCCATCAGTGAAAACCCAGACAGAGGAGCTCCTCCAGCTGTCAGCAAGTGGGCAGACCATGCAGAGTGTGGGTGACCACTACCCCTATACTTGGACCCCCACAGGCATGGGATCTCAGCTACTGCAGAGCCCTCTTCTCTGGCAGCGAATGTGGGGCAAGTGAGTCCCTGACCATATGTAGTCTTGATGGTTTGCTTTCAGGTCCCAGGGAGCCCATAATGGATTCTTTTATTTGTCCTGAAGGACAGGGCACTGTCCTGGACATGGATGGACAAGTATAGATCCTATGGGGCACACAGTGTGAAGCTGTCCACCCTGGAGCTCCCCTTTATAGTTCCCATAGCTGCCCATGATTCTGTGGTGAACTGGATACCCCTGGGCACCCCCTTACCAGTAACACACACTGCTGAAAATCATGATGCCAAGGACACTGAAGGGGAGGGCGTGCAGCACATAGGCCAGCAGCATCTGCCACTTCTGGTACAGGCCATCCTGACTCTCCTGGTCGCTGATAGCTCGCAGCACAGGGACTGGGCATGGAAGGCAGGTTACAGACACTCAAGTCAGTCCTTCACATACCTTAGAGACCTTGGGCTGGCCAAAGCTGAAATCAAGGGCTGTCAAAGATGGTGAGAACGTCATAAAACGAGAGGACCTGCCATTCATAAGGCCTTCCCCAGAAATCTACACTCTACCTGAATTTCAGTGCAGCTACAAGAGTTGTCATGATTTTGTTCCTTCTCTCTAAGAGGTTGTCACAATTCAATGAAGGCATATGCAAAGGGGAGTACAAATAAGTGGTTTGAGGGACTTTGTCCACATTTTGTGAAGAACCTTGATGCTCTACATCCATTTTCCTGCATAAACTGCAATGCCAGGCAGCTAAGTGTTGTTTCTGGATCCCGCATTGACTTTGAAACTTTGGTGCTGGTTGTCCTTAAATAGCCTCCAAGAGGAACCTAAAGGTGACAAGTTGGCCCAAGGGCTGTACATGCTAATGATCAGGATAGGATTCAAGGAATGGCCCTTTGAAAAGTCCTTCCCAAACCCTGCCCTACAAACACAGTATAATTTTATCTTTCCTTGGATTCTTCTCCTTAGGCCCTAGAGAACCATTTAGTGAGCGAATTCACACTAAGGTGTTGGTAACAGTAGATTGCCTCGCCTTTCTGCAGAGAGAGTACTTGGAGAGGTCTAGCTCAGAGAAATACCCATATAATGATGGACTTGGGCGAGTGACAGCTGCATGGACAAGGGCTATCCCAGCCGAGGGGACACCTCCAACCCCTGGGCACATCTTCCCTCCATGGGTGCTTACACAGTGTCACCGCGTTGAGCATGCCTGTGTATGGGGTGGCGCCCACACACTGGTAGAGGAGGCCCACTCGGTCCTGGATAGCACCCTTCGACACATCATTCTGGACCCGCAGCAGGAAGAAAATGATGAACAAACCCATGACCAGATTCTGCGTGAGGCGCATAGCCACTGCCACCTTATTCCTCAGCAAGTTTCTTGTCACTCTCCTAAAAGCCAAACAACCTCATTTAATTTCTTTTCTTTGGTGATGATAAAGACCTAGGACAAGCTTTGCTTACGTTTACAAGGTTCTTACCTCAGGAGGACAACGAGTTTAGCGAGAGCACCAGGAGAATCTTTGGTTTTGAAAGGAACCATTGGTAATGTTTTCAAGTGTTTTGTTCTTTCAATGTTCTCCAAAGTCTTATGATAAATTGCTGACTCCTTGTAGGCAGATTCAATCAGTTGGACTCTCTTATAGGTTTCTATTTCCCGTTCTTTGCTTTGAGTATCCACTGACGTCAGATCCACTAGAATTTTTTCCAAAAGATATGACCCATGTCTTTTTAAACACATGTGTATAGATAACAATATATAGTACTATGTGTTTTATCATTGATTCAGAAGTATTTAAAACTGCTTAGAACTGAGAAGAGAGATCCCCCGCCATATTCTAATAGGTCTTCTGTAGCAAGTTCCTTGACCCAGCTAAATTCACTCCTTGAAAAGTAGAGTAAAAATACCAAAACAGAAATCAATAATACATTCCTCTAGTGCTGGTATCATCCAGGCAGAAACTTGAAATGATCAAGTTCAAAAGACATTCATGATAGGGAATGTGAAGGCAAAACTTACTATAAAAGTCAAAAGGGTTTGAATGCTCAGGACAAGGGTAACTGCAGCCATTGAAGAAATCAAGCATTTCTCCTGGTGTGCCGCAGAAAACCAGCTCTCCGCAGCTCAAGATGGCGATTTTGTCGAAGAGCTGATTGGACAACAGATGGTGTTAGTGTAAGTGTATCATGAGATCATCAGATGGCTTTGGCAGGTAAATGTACAGACATTCAGTCCTCTATCTCAGCCATGCATCCGTGCTCTTAATGTACCCCTGAAGACACCAGATTACCTGTTTGTTTCAGCCTGGGTTGCCACAGCAGACCCTGCTGTCCCCCAGTCTGAGCCTTCCTGTCACAGGTGTGGTAAAGGAAAGCTACCAGTAGCAGATTATATGAACCCAGCCATTCCACCAAATAAGTGACTGGGATACTAGTTGTTTAATTTCGGATCCTCATCTATGTTATTGTTGTTAA